GAGCCCTTGATAGTTTATAAATTGGTATTTTGTCATATCTTGCCCTGTCCAACGTCTCCCTTCACCCACTTTTCGGTTATCCGTCCCCCAGGGAGGAGGTAAATTAATGTGTCTCTGATGACAAGTTTGAACAGAAAAGTGCTAATGGACTAAATTTCTAAGTTGATTGTATGTTCAAGAGCAACTATTGCTGTGTGCCATTGTCTTGATTACTGCCATGTAGGGTTTCTGAGGCTATTGTCAGGAGAGACGTGTAGTCAGGAGGGACTAGTCCCTGGAGAAGGACATCCTGTTTGCTGAAGGGGAGGGCGAAGTGAAAAGAGGAAAGCCCTTGATGAGATGGATGGATCCAGTGGCCGCGTCAGTGACTGGGACACCAGAACGATTGCGAGGCTGGCACAGGGCTGTGCAGTGTTTGTTCTGTGTGCATCGGTCGGAGCCAGCGCAATGCCACCAAAACCCAACAATTTTTATAGGAGCAGATTTTCGGGTCTTTTCTGCCATAATGTAGCAGCTGAAGTGCTGACCTTTTGGTTAGCAGTCAAGCATTTAATCATTGTACCACCAGAGATCTTAAAAAAAAAAAAAAGCAGTGCCCAATTTCATTGCCTTAGAGTAATTTCTATCGCATATCGTGAAAAGTAGAGCTACTCCACGGGCTGTAATCGTGTAACATTCCAACAACACTGCAGCTCTCCTATGGACCGCCGTGGGTTCAGTAATTAAGTGCTTGATTCGTAACTGGGAGGCCAGTCGTTTGAACCCAAAGGACACACGTCAGGAGGCAGATGTGGCAGTCCGTCTCCCAGATGGATGACGGCCTTGGAAACCCTCCCAGAGAGTCCACTCGGACCAACAGGTCCCCTGTGAATCAGAAGTTACTTCGTAGATATGGGTTGGTTTGGGATTTGAAAAGAAAATAATGTATGCATTGCTGTTTAGTTTTTTGAAATTTTCACTAGTTAAGTAATGGACGTTTTCTTCTAACTTTGATAAATTGTGTACTGGGTGGAAGTCAATTGGTAAATAATGTTCGAGTGGTTTAACTTATTTGTATTAGTGAATAAATTTTGCATTTGAAAATCCTAGTATAGATTTTTATATTAATTGCTGTCTGACACTACTTTAGAATCTCACTATTAGTGGATGTCTTGCATTATTTGATTTCCCTACCCAGTTTTGTAACTGCTGTAAAGGGTGGTGACTTCTAAGGTCAGACCCCTGGGTAGCTGGGGTCAACACATTTGGGGTACTTAAAAAGTCCAACCTCTTTCCTCTCTTACTCCTCACTCACAGTATTTTTGTTCTGTTTATTTTTTTTCTTTTGGTGCTCCTTATACTAGTATGAATAAATAAAAGTACCGTAGGTACAAACTGGTAGGTATGTGCACTTTTGAAAATAGTGTTTGCA